CAGGTGGTGTCAGCTTGCTGACAGAGGACAGGAGGCAATGCTGAGGCTGCTGGAGGATCAAACTGATGTGCTCCAGCATACGGTTGAGCTGCAGGAAAGGCAAGAGCACAGACCGCCGCTACAGCCCCTGTGTAACCAACTGCCCTTCTCCCCAACTTCCATAGCCTCCTCACCCAGACACCCAAGAATGCGATGAGGGGGCCTCCGGGCACCCAACCACTCCACCCCAGAGTACTGCACAAGCAACAGAAAGCTGGCATTCAATAAGTTTTAAAGTGCAGTGTGGCCTTGTCCTTCCCTCCTCCCCCACCCCACCCGGTGCTTCCCTCCTCCCCGACCCATCCCGGGCTACCTTGGCAGTGATGAATTAATAAAGAATGTATTAATTTGAAACAATAATGACTTTATTGCCTCTGCAAGCAGTGATTGAAGGAGGGAGGGGAGAGCGGTTGGCTTACAGGGAAAGAGAGTGAACCAAGGGGGTGGGTTTTCATCAAGGAGAAACAAACAACTTTTACACCGTAGCCTGGCCATTCCTGAAACTGGTTTTCAAAGCTTCTCTGATGCATACCGCGCCCTCCTGTACTCTTCTAACCGCCCTGGTGTCTGGCTGTGCGTAATCAGCGGCCAGGCAATTTGCCTCAACCTCCCACCCCACCATAAACATCTCCCCCTTAATTCTCACAGATATTGTGGAGCGCACAGCAAGCAGTAATAACAATGGGAATATTTGTTTCGCTGAGGTCTAAGCAAGTCAGTAAACTGTGCCAGCAGGTTTTTAAACGTCCAAATGCACATTCTACCACCATTCTGCACTTGCTCAACCTATAGTTGAACAGCTCCTGACTACTGTCCAGGCTGCTTGTGTATGGCTTCATAAGCCATGGGAGCAAGGGGTAGGCTAGGTCCCCAAGGATAACTATAGGCATTTCAACATCCCCATCGGTTATTTTCTGGTCTGGGAAGAAAGTCCCTTGCTGCAGCTGTTGAAACAGACCAGAATTCCTGAAGATGCGAGCGTCATGTACCTTTCCCGGCCATCCCACGTTGATGTTGGTGAAACGTCCTTTGTGATCCACCAGTGCTTGCAGCACCATTGAAAAGTACCCCTTTTGGTTTGTGTACTTGCTGCCTTGGTGGTCCGGTGCCAAGATAGGGATATGGGTTCCGTCTATGACCCCACCACAGTTAGGGAATCCCATTGCAGCAAAGCCATCCACTATGACCTGCACATTTCCCAGAGTTACTACCCTTGACAGCAGCAGCTCAGTGATTGCGTTGGCTACTTGGATCACAGCAGCCCCCATAGTAGATTTGCCCACTCCAAATTGATGCCCGACTGACCTGTAGCTGTCTGGAGTTGCAAGCTTCCACAGGGCTATCGCCACTCGCTTGTAAACTGTGAGGGCTGCTCTCATCTTGGTATTCTTGCATTTCAGGGCAGGGGAAAGCAAGTCACAAAGTTCTATGGAAGTGCCCTTACGCAAGCGAAAGTTTCGCAGCCACTGGGAATCGTCCCAGACCTGCAGCACTATGTGGTCCCACCAGTCTGTGCTTGTTTCCCGGCCCCAGAATCGGCATTCCACGGCATGAACCTGCCCCATTACCACCATGATGTCCAAATTGCCAGGGCCCGTACTTTGAGAGAAGTCTGTGTCCATGTCCTCATGACTCTCGTCACTGCGCTGCCGTTGCCTCCTTTTGCAGGTTCTTCATATACTGCTGAATAACGTGCGTGGTCTTTACAACGCTCATGACTGGCATGGTGATCTGAGCGGGCTCCATGCTTGCTGTGGTATGGCATCTGCAGGAGAGCAGAGTGGCAGCGGCGGGTGATGATGATGCTGACAGCAATATGGCACCCACACAGAAAAAGGCGCAAAATTATTGTCGGCCGTTGCTTTCACAGAGGGAGGGAGAGGAGAGCAAGGGATAGGCTGGCAGCAGATGGTGCAGTACGACTGCTAGCCGTCGTCGTCTCCTGGGTGCTCACCAGCAGATGGTGCAGTACGACCGTAGCCATCATCGTTTCCAGGCAGACTGAATCTCCATGAGACCAAACTTAAGAAGAGAATGATCTGGAATCACTCCCATTTATGTCCAGGCGCCCCTGACAGACCTCACCAAAGTCTGCTAGGAGCACCCATGTCTGCCCAGGCGCCTCCGACCAACCTCACCGAGGTCGGCCAAGAGCACCGAGCAGGAGCATCAAGGTCGGCCAAGAGCACCAGCATCTAGCAGGAGATGATGACGATGGCTACCAGTCACAGAATCATAGAATATCAGGATTGGAAGGGACCTCAGGAGGTCATCTAGTCCAACCCCCTGCTCAGAGTAGGACCAATCCCCAACTAAATCACCATACTGCAGCGTCTGCTGCCACAAGGCAATGAGCTGCTGCTGTGTAGCAATGCAATACCACGTCTGCCAGCACCCAGGACACATACGGTGACAGTGAACTGAGGGGGCTCCATGCTTGCCATGGTATGGCGTCTGCACAGGTAACCCGTTGCTTTCACGCGGGGGGGAGCCTGACATCATGTACCCAGAACCACCCGCGACAATGTTTTTGCTCCATCAGGCATTGGGATCTCAATCCAGAATTCCAATGGGCGGCGGAGACTGCAAGAACTGTGGGATAGCTACCCACAGTGCAATGCTCCGGAAGTCGATGGTAGCCTCGGTACTGTGGATACACTCTGCTGACTTAATGCTCTTAAGTGGGAACACACACAATCGACTATATAAAATCGATTTCTAAAAAAACTGACTTCTATAAATTCGACCTAATTTCGTAGTGTAGACATACCGTGAATATATTAGTTCAGCACTGCAGCAATTTAACAAGCCAATTTATTGTTAACAGAGTACCAACAGTCTACCCATGAAAAGTGGATGTCCATGTTGATGTTCTACTTCTCAATTCATCACAAGTCACATTCCAGACAACTGGGATACTACAGCTCAATGTTCTGTATAAGCCATAGAGAAAGATTTTCAATGATAGGTTAAATAAAATCATCCCTTCCTGATAGTGTAGACTAGGAAAGGATAGTTACAATAATACCCTCAATTACAGGAAGAGCACCTGGATTCAATTCAATGGGTTTTTCTTTTCTATGTTTTCTGTAATTTTTTTTGCAAATTGTAAGGTCTCTCTAGCAGGTTTCACTGTACCTTACAATTTGCAAAAAAAAATTACAGAAAACATAGAAAAGAAAAACCCATTGAATTGAATCCAGGTGCTCTTCCTGTAATTGAGGGTATTATTGTAACTATCTGTGCTTATTGCCCTTGACACCCACATGTGCATGTGGAATGAAATAAGCAGGGAGCAGAAAAAAAGAAAACATCAAATGAATAAACCAAGGGGAAGAGAGAGAGAGAAAAACTGAGAATATTCATCCTGTTAGAAAAATGTCAGTCAAACCCAAGAACCTTGTTTAGACTAGGAAAGCTACCTGTTGCCACCAATGGGTGTCAGCAACAAGTCTAGCTACACTGGTGCTGAACCTGGTTTAACTGATAGGGTTGATTAAGATACATCAAGGTTACTGAAACAGTACTGAACATAGTTTGTCCTGGTCTACAGTCACAATTAGACTGGGTTCAGCACCAGTCAAACCGTAATACGTTCCCTGCAACAAGTAATATTTCTAACACAGATAAGTCTAGGAAGAGCAACCGTGGAAAGGATACACCTTAGACAGAAAACAAAATTTTCCACACTGCATCTAGTTAAGAAAAATTCTTTAGAGAGGATTCCCAGTCAGCTCATTGCTGAAGACTCAATGAGATTTAGGATTTAACAACCTCGTTAAACACAAAAATCTAACTTTAAATACTGTTGTCTGAATTACTAGTCCATACAGAAAATACCAATAAATGATACAGTAAGGATGGTATTATTTCTCAAAGCTTCATAATTCACCTGAACTGTCCCTGGACTCTTGCAGTGACATGGGATAAGCATTCCGTGTTAACTGCCCAAGTTACGCGTTGCTTCACATGAACAAACTGAGGTCTTTAACCCTAGAGAACCTTGCTTTCTATTTGAGCTAACCACTGGGATCCAAGCGTTCTGTGAAACTCCACCTCCATTCATCCGGCACCAGCTGCTACTTGTGTTTATTAACACAGTAAATACGTCTAGCTTTAGCATTTGCATAGAGCAAAAAAATATGAACTGGCTCAGCTGCCAGCCTATGCTGTGCTGGGGGCCGTGTCAGAGGGTTGGTACAGCTAATCCCCAGCGTCACAGCTACTCTCTCCGTTGTTCAGTTCGGGTTTTAACGCCTCACGTGACATGCTCGTGATGGAAGGCAACGTGTGCCAGCCGACCTGTCTGCCAGCCGGGGCTGCGAGGCCTCACCGGGGCTCCCCGGCGAACCCGCCACTTGCTGAGCGCCCCCTCCCCAAGCCCATCGAGCCTGCTGCTTCGCTCCCGGGCCGGTCACGGCGGCGGCGGGCAGAGAGCGGCTCTGGCTCGCTCACTGGGGAGCTAGCGGGGGGCTCGTATTCGCTGAGCCCAGCAGCGCCCGCTGACCCGGCTCGGACACAGCCCACGCGGGGCAGGGGGGTTTCTCTGGGAGAGGAGAAGAGTCCCCGGCCCGCACACACCGGAACAAGCCCCTCAGCAGCACAGGAGGCGCGCGGGGCCGGCCAGAGGAGACCCGGTGCCGGAGCGCTGCAGCGCCCGGCTCAGCGGCGGGGCTTACGGACCCGTCCGGCTCTCAACTCTCCGAACGGGCACCGGGAGCAGACCGAGTTCGCCCAGACGGGAGACTGGGGGGGGAAAGAGCGCGAGGCACCTTCGGGGGGCGGCTGGGGGCGTGCGCGAGCGCGGGGCCTCACAATTGGGCGCGAGGCACCGTGCGAGGGGGGAGGAGACAGAGAGCGGCGCGCGCCGAGCGCCGGGGCCCCGAGCTCTGGCCAGGAACAGGGCGGAGGCCGCGCGCGGGAGGAGAGCGGGGTGCCGTTCCCCCCGCCCGGCCGCTCACCGCGTTCTTCTTCTGCACCATCTTGTCCATCTTCTTGGCGATGCGGATGATCTCGTCTTCTGTATTCATGGCTGCGGAGGCCCGAGCGGGGCCCGGCCGTCGCGGCGAGGGCTGGGCCTGCGGGACGCACCCGAGAGACGAGAGGGGACCCGGCCACGGACGCAGCCGCTCGGGGCCGTCAGTGCAGAAATGGAGCCAGGCCGCCGGATAACAAATGAACCCAGCAGCCCGAGCGGCGGCGCCGGCGCCAGGCAGCGCTCATCAAGCACCAGCCAGGGGAGGCAGACCTCACTGAGGCAGCCCGAGAGCATCCACCCGCGCGGGCGGAGGAGGAGGGGGGGGGAAGCTGGGGAAAGGCGGGGTTAGCGGCGCGGGCCCTGCCCCCACAGCGGCGAGCGAGGGTTGCCGCCGCCGCCCAGACTCCGGCTCGCTCGGTGCGTCCGCCGGGCGGCGCCGCGCGCAGAGGTGGCTCAGGCACCGTGGCCCGCGCTACACAGCGGCAGCTCCGCACCCGACTCCTCAGAGCCGTGGGGAGCCAGTTCCCCCGCCCCCTGCGGTGCGCTGATTGCTGGGCCCGGGCAGGTGCGGGAGCTGCAGTCTCCAGCCCCGGGTGCCCGGACGGCTCGTCACAACGATCGCTTGTAAGGACGAACGGCTGCTCCGCGTTTCTGCCCTGAAGCGCTGTTACTGCCCGGAAGAGAAGGAGGCTCCCCACAAGCCCCACACCGCCTTGCTTGTTGATTGGTCGGGAGCAGGATTCCCAGCAAGCCACTTTCAGCTCCCCTTGTTGGTTTTACTTCACCAAGGGCGTCTCGACGCTACAAACTTAAGTCCACCTACAGCCACTGTAGTAAATGCGGTCCTGTCCGCACTACCCTCCTTCTGTCCCTGCTGCCCGTCCTTGCCAGGAGTGCTTTCACGGACTTAAAAAGGGTAGTGTGGAGGCAACAGCCTGGCTTGGAGTGGGGAGCCAGGAGCAGCAACGCTCTAGCTGGAGGCCCCAGTCACCTCAGGGTGACACCAGAGCTGTGAGCCTGTTTGGTTTTTTTGGTCAATTTCATGGCTCCCTGCTGGAGTCATGAAATTCACAAGAATGACAGGGAACAGCTGAGGTAAGTAACCCTTAGTATACATGGACATTGCCTTGTCCTAATTACACCAACATAAGCCCTATGCCTCTTGTGGAGGTGGAGTTACTTTGTCATTTTGTTAGTGGAGTAGGGCACTTACATCAGGGGGAGCACAACCTAACTAGTATAGACCAAACCTGAGATTGGAGCTTGTGTCCACACTAGTCTGGAAATTGCCAACCTTAGCTCTTGTGTAGACTGGCCACACTGTGTTTTAACTCTCCTCTTGTCAGCTACACAGAGGCCTGTTCTACACTACAAAGTTAGGTCGATTCAAGGCAGCTTACGTCAATCTAGTTGCGCATGTACACTTAAATTGGTCTCCCAACCACATAAGTGCCCCCTTACTCCGACATAGTAACACCATCTCCCCAAGCAGCTTAAAGCCACAATCAATGTACTCAGGTGAATGCAATGCAAGCATAGAACCTGTGTTACTTATTTTGACCCTAACTGTCCTCTAGCAGCTGTCCTACAGTGCCTCACATGGACTGCTCTGGTCATCAATGTGAATTCCATTGCTCAGGGGTCATGGAGACCAGAATTCCCCCTGCCTCTTTAAGGCCCCACAAATTTTTGAAACTCCTTTTTCCTGATTGCCCAACTTGGCAAACACACCTATCAGCTCTCCATTGTTGAGTGCAACTACCCAGCTGATTATGCTGGCTCCATGCTCTAGCACATTCATGTCTGGAGTAGACAGGTGATACTGGATTTTCTGGTCATATGGGGAGAGGAGGCTATGAAGGCACAGCTCCAAACCAGCCTAGAAATATCAACATCTATGAGTGGATTGTTCAGCAGATGCAGGAGAAGGGGTACAACAGGGACTAGCAGCAGTGTCGCCAAGGAGCTGCAGCAGGCATACCAGAAGGCCAGGGAGGACAACGAATGGATGTGATACTAAGCTGCAGACCTGCAACTTTTACTACGTGTGTCATGCTGCATGCTATACTCAACAGAGACACCGCCCCCAACCCCCACAGCAGCATGGATACCTGCAAGGAGCCTGAGTCACAGACACCTGCTGTGAACACGGAGGAGGAGGAGGTGGTAGTGGTTGAGGAGGAGGATAATGGGCGACAGGTGCCCAGGGGATCCAGGTACACAGCAAGCCAGGACCTGTTTTTGACCCCACTGCAGTCTAGTCAGTTCACCAGTCGAGCCCAATGTAAGGGAAGGGTAAGTAGATAGATAGATTTTCAATTACAGAGGTGGCATTCCTAAAGTAGCAGGATACATGTTTTGACTTTTCATTAATTAACTCATGCTAGAAAAGGTAGTGGTACAACCAAGGGAGGTAGAGTTGCTATCTGCTTCTCATTCCCTTATAGGTTTAGGCAGGGGGTAGCCACGTGGAGCAGTTTGTTTACGTACGCTGGGCACATGATGCCCTTGAATCCTCCTGAGAGGTCACAATGAAACTTTCATAGAGGTACTGTGAAATCCTCTGCCAACAGTTTGTAGGGAGGGCTGTCTTATTTCTTCCTCTGTGGTAAGATGCTTTCCCAAACCGTTCAGCAATAAGTTCAGCAGGCACCGCTGCAGTACACAGACTAACAGCATACAAGTCTGTACTCTCTCTGCCTTTGTTACCCTCAGATGTGAAATAAATCATCACCACCTGTGGAAAATAGTGCCAACTTTCAGTGTCAGTGCCCTTTTCTACTAGAATGCAACTGAACAATTCCCCTGTCATTTCCCCAACTCCAGGCAGGCCACAGTCACTGGCTGCTGCTGTGACTGGCACAGTGCACAAACAATCCCAAGAAGAAGTGAGAATGTAGTGCTTAAAACTTTAGGGGAGCAAGAGAAGTGAGATCAGCATCTTAAGTTTTGCTTTCTTTAATGTATACACTGACAATGGTACCTCTGTGTGTTTTATCTTCAGCAGCTGCCATTGCCTAGCCTTTAGGGTTCCCCCTTCACACCCAACACCCGAGTCAGATAAGGAGGAGAAAGAAGAGGACTTGGGATGACAAGTTCAGTGAGATCCGAAAGCCAGTGCAGCGTTGGACCATGAGCACATCAAGGGATGAACATTGCAGAATGAACATTGTAGGCAGCTTGGAGAAGGAAAGAGTGGAGAGGAGAAAGGCTCAAGAGTCCCAGCAAGAAAAGGAGGGAGATGCACCGAGACATAGTGAGGCTTCTCAGGCAGCAAACACGGATGCTATAGATCCTGGGCTTGCTTCCCTCTGCAGCCCATTGAGAACTCAATATCAGGACCTCCCCAAATCCCCCCCCCACACACACACACACACATACATATATTTTGTGGGGCTATTGTTGCACTACCCCTAACCGTCCACCCCAGAGGAAATTAAAGACAAACAGAGCTTCAGGTACACTAACTGTGGCTTTCACAGGTTAGTGTATGTGTAGCTGAAATAGATATGAATGTTTTCCCCTTCATAATTTCTGTTTTCTTAATAAAATTTACAAATTACATTTTTTATATCTGTTTTCAAATTGCACTGATTTTGTTGCAGAATAAAGTTCTATTATTTGGAACATAATTCATTTTTATTAGGTCACAACATACACCATGGGATACCTATACCTGGTGTACAACACTATGCTGATACAAGCACTCCTGGTGAGTGCACGCACCACTGATGCAAGGAGCCAAGTATTCACACACACAAGCAATGTACTGAGGCGGGTGTATCTGATGTAACTTGCATTGACATAAGTTTGTAGTGTAGACATGGCTAATACAGGTGAAATGATACATTGGTTCAAATGACAGCAGCTATGCTAGAGTGGGGCTACTGCCTGTGCAGTTACAGGGGCAGGAAATAGTTTTGAGGCTGTGCCTATAGCTGACTTTGTTTTTCCACCAGTGGTAGCAAAGGTGGGAATTTTTAAGAAAAACAGTCAAGTGGCCTGTCTGAGAAAAGGGCCAGATTTTGAAAAGTTTTTGGGGAGGGAGGGATAGCTCAGTGGTTTGAGCATTGGCCTGCTAAACCCGGGGTTACAAGTTCAATCCTTGAGGGGGCCATTTAGGGATCTGGGGCAAAAATTGGGGATTGGCCCTGCTTTGAGCAGGGGGTTGGACTAGATGACCTCCTGAGGTCCCTTCCAACCCTGATATTCTCTGATTCTAAGTAAGCAAGCCTGGCTGAGGCTTACACCATGTTTGATGAAACCCTTTAAAACATTGTTTTGGACTGATTCAGGCTTAACTCAGCTTTGAATGTGGATGGGGCCAAACCTTTTGGGAAACTATGCCCTAGTCTAGGTAGCAACCACTTCCTGTCTTAATGAGCTGTGTCTATTCTAGACTTATTACTTAAAATTTCTCTCTCCCCCCCTCCCCCTGCAGTTCCACCAGCAGCAGCTCTAGTGTAGACAGGCTGCTGGCAGCTGCCATTTTCCCAACCAGCATTAGATGAGCCAGTTAAAATGTTGGCAGCCAGTCTATGCCGGGGCAATAGACAAGCTACATGAATGGCAGCACTAGTGCGAAACAAAAAATAAAACTAGTGTAAACATAGCCATTGTGTTTAATCAGAGTTAGCCTGAACAAGTTTAAAAAGTGAATAGAATGAAATGAAAGTCTTCAGGCCTAGTGAACCATTTTCAAATAGCTTTTGCTTATTGGAAGTGTCTCCCCCCCTGCCCCCCCCCCAAAAAAAACCCACCCTGCATGCCTCAGCAGCTGCAAATGCAACCTTACTAATGTCCATCCTGTAATAGGTAAGGAAATGATAGCAAGGTAACTTAAATGCTACCCAGTGCCAATGACAAGCCAGCTGCTTTGGAGTATTACATGCATACACCTTACAACCAGACTGGTGGACTGAAGAAAATTCCAGAAAATAATTCAAAAGACAATGGGAAGAGTGACTAGTGACCCGAATGCTGATGGCTGTAGCAATGCTTCTGCTCATACACCTTCCTTTTCAGAAGATGAAAACAAATAATAATCTAGACAAGCTCGGCATAGTCACAGCTCCCATTACTTGTGCAATCTGCTGCAAAGATTTCTGGATGATTTTCATGTATCTGTACAATTGCTAAATCAATGTTTGTTGTGAATTGGCTATTATCTGCTTTGTATTTAGCCAGTAACTTTGTATTGCTGACAAACACGTGTCCAACACTAATTTTTTTAGTCTGTTTCAGCTGCTGTTGGAACAGGCTGTTGTTTTGCACCAGCATCTGCGTCCTAAGGTAAAACAAGCTGCCAAGGAACACAGCTGAAGTGACAACACGTTTTGCATACAGCAAGCACATTTTTCACATTTTTTTGTTTTTTCTAGGAGGACACTAGATGCCACCTTAAGATAACGTATCAACAGGGTGAGAGAAGAAAATAAAGACAAGAGGCTGGGGCGTTACTAAGGCTATGGCTACACTACGAGGTTTTTAGCGACACAGCTGTGCCGCTAAAAGGCATGCAGTGTAGCTGCTGTTTGTCAGCAGGAGAGAGCTGTCGTGCCAACAAAAAACTTCCATTCCCATGAGCGGCAGTGGCTTTGTCAGCAGGAGAGTGCTATTCACACTGGTGCGTTTTGTCGGTTAAACTTTTGTCGTTCAGGTGTGTGTTTTTTTAACACCCCCGAACAACAAAAGTTTTGCTGATGAAATGCAGCATAGACAAACTCCCCTACTTAGCAGATCCAAATCCTGCTGATAGGAGACGACTTACTAAGGATCAAGTAGGATAGAATTCCCTACTCTGGCTGGGCTTGGTACAGCATGGCTGCGTGTCATTTAATAGCCTGTAGGAGGTTAGACTAGATGATCTGGTGGTCATTTTTAGTCTTAAACTCTATGACTAAGTTCCAATGAATTGTCCCTGCTGCTACAAAGACAGCATACTGAAAAATTAGTGAAGTTTCATCTCAGTATGTAAAAGATTTGATTCTAGAGATTTCTAACAGAAAATACTTTAAGATTGGTCATGAATATGACTAAATTCATCAGTTTCACTTTCCTTGGGACTGACTGATCCTATGTATGAGAAACTACTTTAATAGGACAACTGTTCAGCACTCAAGGCAAACTCCAAAATTTGGTTGCAGATGAAACTCTAATTCTCCTACCATGTGAGTCTATGTTAATAAGTCTAATTACATGATCACATCTCAGAATTATCCTGTCCATTTTTCCAACAATCTAAGGGTTTTTTTTCATATAACAATTTGATGGTTAATTATCCACTTTACGCTTACTGATCTGGACTTGATATAAGCTCTCTTCTTACTATTATTCACTCTGTATTTTTAAAAAAAGAAATTAACTATCTTTTTCTCCCCAGCAGAACAGATTTTGTTGGATACAATTAATGGGATGAGAAACTTAAATACAAAGCTAAAGCTCCGCTCCTACCTGGTAAAGACCCAGCTCTCATGGAGAACTGGGGTCTGCAAAGGCAGAGAGCTCTTTGCAATATCAAGCTTTAGTCTGTCATCTGTTGGTATATATGATTTATTGTATACTTTTCATCTGAGCATCACAGAATCTGACATACAGAGAAGTACATAGTACAACAAATGGTATCTACATTGTATACTATAATGTTTTGTATTAAAGGAATAGTGTGTGAATGAAAGACTATATCAATTTATATACAGAAGGTGGCCTAGTTAAGGTTACATGTAACTTTGGCACTTTTTAACTTCTGAGCACTTCAGTGTGTAACACAAGATCTTTACAAGCAGCTTTTCCTATAAAGCTTTATATTTAAAAAAGAAATCAGTGGAGAAAATATTGACACTACACTACATATTCATCATGGGGGTAAGATTATGATATGATTGGTTATGATGCAGTTTGTACAAGATGAGTCATGTGAGGTATCATTGGAAAAGTTATGATTTGCTGAATATGATTGTCCTACTCATGTGCATGTTTCATTTTTGTATCTGAATGAATATTGACTATGTATCTGTATTTCAAATGTGCTTACTCTGAGTAACACTCACAGGTAGCCTTTCAGGTACAACAGTGAAGAAGCTAGACATTGTTCATGGCCCATCAGCAAAGACAATGGACTATGGAAGAGTTTAGCCTTCCTGTAAATGGTTTAGCCAGCCTGTAAGTAATGGCTGCTATGACTCAGCAAGAGCATATGACCAGACCACATAATACTGAACTCCATTTTGGGTACCTGTATTTTTTCACAAATTGGGTTGGGAACTGTTTTTAGAACAAAGGGTTCGCTGCCATATGTTAAAACTATATAAGGTAGGGTGTGACATCATCTAGGGAGGCGGTTCTCAAACTGTAGGTCGGGACCCCTGTTAAGGTTCCTTCCCCACTCTGAACTCTAGGGTACAGATGTGGAGACCTGCATGAAAAACCCCTAAGCTTATTTTTACCAGCTTAGGTTAAAACTTCCCCAAGGTACAAACTATTTTACCTTTTGCCCTTGGACTTTATTGCTGCCACCACCAAGCGTCTAACAAATATATAAGAGGGAAAGAGCCCGCTTGGAAACGTCTTTCCCCCAAAGATCCTCCCCAAACCCTACACTCCCTTTCCTGGGGAAGGCTTGATAAAAATTCTCACCAATTTGCATAGGTGAACACAGACCCAAACCCTTGGATCTTAAGAACAATGAAGAAGCAATCAGGTTCTTAAAAGAATCACCTCTGTAAAATCAGGATGGTAAATACCTTACAGGGTAATCAGATTCAAAACATAGAGAATCCCTCTAGGCAAAACCTTAAGTTACAAAAAGACACAAAAACAAGAATATACATTCCATTCAGCACAGCTTATTTTATCAGCCATTTAAACAAAACAGAATCTAATGCATATCTAGCTAGATTACTTACTAAGTTCTAAGACTCCATTCCTCTTCTGTTCCCGGCAAAAGCAACACAGACAGAGAGAACCTTTGTTTCTCCCCCCCTCCAGCTTTGAAAGTGTCTTGTCTCCTCATTGGTCATTTTGGTCAGGTTCCAGCAAGGTTATCCTAGCTTCTTAACCCTTTACATGTGAAAGGGTTTTTCCCTCTGGCCAGGAGGGATTTTAAAGGTGTTTACCCTTCCCTTTATATTTATGACAACCCCAAAGTGGGATGCAACCCCATTTTAATGGAATAACCAGGGACGACACCCAAACCCTACCGCCCGAGGCTGAAGCAGAAGCCCTTGGGTGGCAGGGCTCTAAACTAGTGTGCCTTTGAGTGAAGTGTCTATGGGAAAATCTCAGCTCCATGAGCAAAGGCTGTTGCATATTCCTCTCCACATCAAAGGCAGGTGAACTGAATAATAAATTCATACTGGTTGGGGTTTTGACCAGGTGGGATGGTACAGCTCTGGGGTCTTACACTAGGGAACTGGGGGTTATTTTGGCTGTAGCCTCTCTATTGCTGGTTCATGCGGTGGCTGGCCAGAGCCTGCATGCAAGTGCAGCTGGGTGTGTAAAACTGGGAGCGGGCTGCAACTTGTCACAGCAACACCGTGTGAGAGGAAACCCAGGCTGATGAGTTGGAGGGCT